GCTCAGTGGCTGGGCGGCCGAAGCCTCCGTTGGACACGTCATCGCAGCGTGAGGTCCAAGGGTCTAATGATTGGCATTGTTGCAACAAATCTGTGTTGAACATGGGTGGTAGGTCATAGACATAGACTCTACCGGAGCTGCAGGGGTCTTCGACGTCAGAATTGGAATTTAGAAACTTGAAGGGGGAAGAAGAGGTAAGGGAGAGTGGGAGGGAGCAAGTTGTGGTGAAAATGAGGTAAATTTGAAAAACAAGAACGGTTAAAATGAGGATCCATGAGGGATATCGATATCGTGTGAATGAATTGGAAAAGATACTTTTGGTATCTTTAAAATCCATTCCAATGGGTTTCTTTGGAGTAGAACACAATAATTGGGATTCAATACGAACTACAAATTAAGGCCGTTTTGATGGTTTACAGAGAGAACGTATGTGAGGGTTGTATATATTTTGTAAGCATGAATATGATTCTTTTATTTTCTTGGTATGCGGCATTGAATGTGTTTTATAATTATAAGTCGAGGAAGTTGATGCATGGCGTATAATACAAAGTACTAAGTAGTCGCTTTTGGGGAAAACAAAGAGTATCTTAAGGATCATGTTCCACAAGCTTAGCTGTATAAACCCTTATTTTTCCGATGACCTAATTTTCATTCACATCCATCTTCTTATTTTCCCAATTCCAAAGCCACTTTGGAAAAAAAAATGGTCCAAATCTATTGGCTGTCTTCGAAGTAATCCACTTTCTTAAAGATATGATATTTATATATTTCTTTACGTGAATTGGACATCAAAAAAACAAAACAAAAAATCCCTTTTTTTTTTTGGTTTTCTATTACTTTTCTTTTTCTTTGACTTTTTGTTTCAGGTTTCTATATATTTTTCCAAAGAAGGAGAAAAAATTTGTTAATGCCTAGGATATTGACTAAAATTTTATATAAAAAAAAATTATAACAAATTTCTGTGAAAATTTGCATCCATAAGAATCAACGAAATTAGACAACACGATTAAAGACACGTGGCCTTTTGGGGATTGCTTATTGAAAATTTTCCGAACATAGATTACAGTTTACAGCTTTGTATGATCATGTGCTTAATTTAATTATTTGTTTTGGTTTTCTAAATTTGATTGCAATTGTTATTTACGAAACATTAATTAATTGTTTCATTATTTAAAAGAAATCCACAAACATCCAAAATTAGCCACTTTAGATTGTCGTTTGTTTTCTTCCCTTTTTTTCAGTTTCAAAAAATAGTTTGACAGATTAAATATTAATTATACACACACAAATTTATGAAAGGAATATTAAAAATTTAAGAGAGCAAACGAAACATGATAATTATTTTCTTAAGTGAAAATATTTTAAATAAGAGAACAGCCTAATATATAATTTGTTAATTAAAGAAGGGAAAGGAATGAACAAGACAATGCCTGAAAATTCCATAATTTTGTCCACATTCTCGTCGACTGTGACGGTCAAATCTAATAACTATATAAAAATATATAATTAATTATATTACTAACCACTATCACTTTCTAAATATTAATTAATGAAGTAGTATAAGAATTCATCAAAACAATCAATAAATGTGTGTATATATATATATATAATTGTTATCTTTCTTAGAGTGGGAGGTTCTTCACGCCTCACATACTAAAAAGGCGATTATAAAAAAATAATAATATTTTAAAAAGTTAATAATTTAGTTATGGTCCCCTAAATCGATCAAGAACTAGTTATGTTTTTGCATACAAAATTAGTCTTGTCTCTATCCCTTTCTTTCATATTTTTCACTTCTCTATAACATCTCTTATGTATATTGAACCGTTTCTCTCCTTATTGTGGTCTATAAGAACCGAGTAGCTTCCTGGTAGACAAGAACTAATCATAGTAACCTGTAATCAGTTCTCTCCCAATAACAAAAGCAAAACCGTACCGAGAAATGACTTTCTAGTTCTAGAGCACGAAGCCACCAAGCATAAAAAAACCAAACCGAGAAACGTCTACAAACCACCGGTTCATCGTACGACTCACGGCTCAGCACGAGTAACTCGGCTGCAAACTCCTAAAGTCGTTTTTTAACTCGCCACGTGTTCCACTGCAAAGCAAAAGAGTTCGCATCGATTTTGTCGGCTAATGAAATTCTGCCAGTTGGCCACGTCGGGGTCAGAGTCTGGGACAGAATCCTGTGGGGAAAGGCGCACCAATGTCCAATGGATCCAAGGAGTAGCAATTTTCTAGTAATTCTTTTGTTGAAAATGGGTGCTAAGTCACAGACATAAACTACATAATTCTCCGGCCGGCGAAATGGCCGGGAAGATGACGTAGCTTGGAAGCAAAACAATAATGGCAAAATGGAAATAGTTATACAATTTTAACACTGTTTAGG